TAAGATATTTAATCTTATCTTAATTTTTTACAATCTTTTCTTTTGAAATAGAACTTTATTAATATAAACAATGTTCAAAACTTAGTTTTAAGGTAACTTGTTTCTTCTTGGAGTACTGCATATTGTTGGTTCTCTAAAATGTCCATAAATTAATATTAGCTCCTTATTCTCTAATAAGGATTATGGAGCACCTGTAATGAGCTGCTAGGTGTTTTCTGTACCTGTGTTATATTATCGTGTAGCCTCCCCATAGCCGTTCATGGTGCGGCCTCTGTTAACAGGTGAGGAGTGAAGTCGTGCAAGAGGTGCAAAATGAAGGAAGCGGCAGAGCCAGGGCGGGAACCCAAGTGTCTGGTTTGTCTTCCTGGCTCGTTGCCCTTGTCTCCTTATCCACAGGGTGTGCCTGGAGGCTTTCTGAACTATGTGATAGAATGACCTTTGATGTCCACTGGGTCATTTCTAACAAGCTGGAATGGAGTCATTTACCATAACCAACAACTTTAGTCTCCAGATGTTTAATTCATCCCATGTTACCATCTAATCTGTACTTACAGCATTCCATCCGCTATCTATTATAGGTCAGTGAGTAATGATTGGCCTTGCCTTGAGGTCTAAGGAGTAAGATAGAAAAGGAACAGATGGCAGCTCTTATTAGCAGAAAGAGAGAAGTCATCATTTGCGGAGGGGTATGGAAGAAGGAGGGGAGGAGGAGACTTGATGTGGCCAATAGGGATGGCACTATTAGGCTGGGGACAAGAGGGCACCATGAAGCCCTGTTACCCTGAACGGGGAACACTAAGCTGAGTAGGTAGTTAGCAGTGTGAGGCTGTCTTCTGTAAGGACCTTCCCATTCAGGGAAGGAGCTACACACCCCTAATACAAGGTAGATAGTCATGGTGTCAGTTGCCATGAAGAGAGATACAGTGTATAACTCTGAGATGCCTTCAGGGAGGAGTTTCCAGTCGTCAGAGTAGTGTTTAGGATCATTGGAGGATACTAACAACAGAATGATACTGTATTTTAGCTTAGGGAAGACTTGTCACTGTAGAGAAAAATTTTGTAGACTAACAGCATAACCCTTAATGAAACTACATTGTTCAGTGTTTGTATTTCCTAAGTCTGTAAAGACTTACTAATCTACATTTATGAACATTGTACTAGAAGACCCTTTCAAAGAATGTTAAAGACTGGAAAAGAAGCTAGTTTTGTACATTTGCTAATAAAATATACTAAGTGTCCTTTTGTTCTACATTATGTTTCAGAGTTTTTAATTTTGTAGCTATATGTCTGCTTGAAATGTTACTTGCAGTTATTGAACAAACCTCTAGGTGATGCTAAGAGACTTGAACTTAATATTGTGGAAGATCAACGATGCTTTTTTTTACCTGCCTGCTCCTTATGCCAACCAACAGTAATGGCCAGAAGCTGGCATCGATTCAAGGGAAGGGTTGATGTAGAAACCAATGGTTTCTGTCCAACGCACACATGCTGTTTCCCAGCTGAATGTTGGAAAGAAGCCAGCTAATGGCCAATTTTAAGTTGGATTTATTCTCTTGATTCCATAGCGTTTGAATGTTTCATTCTCCAGGTGTGCAGATTATTCTGGGCATGTCACTTAGTTAAGACCAGAAGAGTGGATGCGTTTTTTTCAGTGGAGCTTACAGCTATTCTTGAGGTTACACCTGCTTTCCCTTTTGAGAGGGGAGTTAGCCTTGTCATAAACTATTTTTTAAAATTTGTTTAACAAGATATTTAAAGTACTTTTGATTATAAACATTTTTTTGGGGGGGTCTATTAAAGACAGTTGACATAGAAGGGAAGTTCAAGATAGAGCTTGTGTGCCTGTCCCTGGCCATTTTCTTTCCGTTTTCTTCTGGTGTCTGTGTTGAACAGGAATTAATGTCGTCAGGCCCCTCCCTGTCTCTCCCGTGGACCTTCACCCAACGCCCCACCCCAGAAGACTTTGCCTGCCCTGCCCTTGAGGCCCTAGAACCTGCTTCTGCACCCACTACTAATTCAAACTGCCCTGTCCTGGATCACGGTTACAGGTTCTTCTCGGCCTGTCATTGGACATGGTGCTGCTTAGGTTCCTCTTCTGACCCACGGCTCTTGCTGTGTATTGTCAGAATGCATAGTTCCAGCCCCAAGCTGCAGGGACCTGTGCATATGTTCAGTGTGGATACGTGACTTGCTGGTCTGTGGGTGTAAGTATACTATTTACTGGTGTCATCTGGGTACCTCTTGTCAGCACCTCCAAAGGTAAACTCATTATCTCACCACTGCACAGAACAAAAAATAACCCACTCATCCTGTTGTATTCTCTGGGCAGAAGGCACGAGTACCCTAACCGGAGACATTCTCCGGCTCCTGGCCGCCTCAGGGTTTTCTCTAAGTCCTTGGATTGGGCTGAGCATCCCCTCCACTGACCCCTTTCAGCTTCGCCTGCCCTGTGATGTCCTGTCACTGTCCGCAGGCTCCTGCAGTAGGGCCACCCCTCAGTCACCTCTGCCTCCAGGAGCTGGTGCCCAGGCATGGCTCTGCAAATGGCAGCGTGTCGTTTAATAGAGGGCCCTGTGGTAGGAAGGCAGTTTATTTTGAGTCTTACAGTCATGAAAAACTTAATTGTTTTTAAATATAAAAATACTGTGGCAAAGATTCACAGGTATCATGCCGGAGTGTTCATTTGGGATTGATGCTTATTTGAAAATTCAGGGGTTTGGGTAGAATAATTATGTTAAATAATTGCCATTGTGTGGCTCACATTGGAAATTACAGACTGTTGTGATAATACGGCTCAAAGACAGATGCAAAAATCTATTGTAAGTAGAAGATCTTAAGCCTGTGGGGAAAGGTTAGTATCCGAAACCTTAGAGTAAAAGGATTTTTAAAGCGGAGCCCATAATCTACTGAGAAGAAATTGCCTGACCCAGGTTCATGTGTCAGCTGTTACATGACTTAACACGTACCTAACCCCTTGGACCTCAGTTTTCTCATCTGTAAAATGGGAATGATACTGGTGTCTCTGATAGGGTTAGGACGATTATGAGTAATACAGATAAAGCTCATAGCATAGTGTCTGCCACATGACTGGTACTGTCTGTACTGGGTGTTATCACACAGGCTTGTGGTTCAGTTCTGTAACTGACCTGTTACTCATTGAAGCCCAGTACTGGTAAGAGAGAGGAGAGGAGTTTTGCAAGCTTAGTCTAATGGAACAGATTCCATTGGGTTCTTTTGAGCCTGTAATGTTTTACTTTTTGTAAATGGGAAAATTATGCCTCGTGCTTCCTCAATTAGAGCAAAGAGAGCATTTACTCTCCCCAGGGGGAGGGGAGTGAGTGTGTTGTGCGGACATTAGAATTTTGCAAATTAATTTCTTCATTTAATGCTTAAGTCCTGGACCTGCCAAGGCCAACTGTGTTTTAGAAAAGAAAGGCTTGTTATGTTTGAGTGATGATTGGATTGATGCTAATATCAAACGTATGCTCACTTAGTGTTTCCTAGTACACAAATTTTTTTTTTAAAAGATTTTTATTGGGGAATTGGGGGATGGGAACAGCGCTGGGGAATTGGAGGAAGGGGAACAGACAAGCTGCTGTCCTTCTGCTCCTCAGTCTAGTTGTGGAGGACGCCGCCTCACTGGCCCATGTTGATATTAACATTGCGCTGTTCCCGGGCGAGGCAGATCAGTCGCTGGCTTCTGGACGGCTGCTCATGGAGGCTGCTGGCTACACATGGTAGCCCATGGCAACCCATTGCAGCGGGGGCTGCAGCCTACGCCTGGCCAGTGACTCACGGCTGCCCAGCTCCAGGCCGAGCTGCTGTTCAGCATCTCAGCTGTAGAGGGCAGCGTCACTGGCCCTCATATGTGGGATCCAAACCGGGGCCCTCTGGCGTCCCAAGCCAGCTCTTAACCAACGCGCCACTCGGCCAGCCCCCTAGTACACAATTTAAAGTGAAGAGAGGCTGTGTGGTCTGGCCACAGATCATGTATTTCAGGCGCTGGCTGTGCTACCTTGCTCCTGTGTGATCACAGGCAAGTAGTTAACCTTTCTGACCCTCGATTTCCTTATTGGTGAAAGGGGGGTGGGGAGGGATAGCGGTGGTATTACTGGATTACTAGGGGTTAAGTGCAGCCTGTTAACATATATACATTGTAAAGTATTTACTATGTATAGAATGTGTCCATAAATTGTAGCTGTCACTGTTACAAGTTTCATAACAGCACATGGGAGACCTTGTTTTAAAGCATTTGTGAAAATTATATAAAGCATTTGATTTTTTCAATCAGAGATGGCGTTTACAGCTCTCTTTAAGACGATGAAGAAGAGTGATGTATGTCTCAGGGTGAAGTCCGAGGATAAGAAGCTTGTTTGTAAAGGAAATAAGGGAATTCCAGTGTGAAAAACAGTCCCTAACCCTATTTTTGACTTCCAGTGAAAAATATCGTTTAGTTGATAGGAGATCGTTGTCCCAAAAAGGAGTATCATCACTCATGGAACAGTCATCAAACACCCACTGTGATGTGTGGGCTACTGTAGTAGATGTTAGAGATTCAGGCATGAATGAGACTTGAGCTCTGCACGTTAAAACCTTATAGCTGGGGTCTCAGGGACCACGCTATTAGCATGGCATGCTTAGCTGTCAGTGTTTAAGGAAAAAAGCCTGTATCTTTTAAATCTGTTTTCTAATACTGATACATTATTTTTAAGCTTTTTTTGTTTCATATTAAAATAGTCCTCATGCTCCCGAGTTCTGTTTTCACAGGAAGACGAATACGTGTTGGTGTTTGGGGGGAAGTTTTTTTTTCAAAATTGAATTATTAAATAATGTACATGATGTTGAATGGAATGAAGCTTTTTAGCACAGTATGCCTTTTCTTTGGGTAGGTGACTTATTGAAGGGGTTTTGAACACTCCTAGAGTAGAGCATAAGAATTTACTTCACTGTTGTTAACTAGATGTTATTAACTTCTTAAATCTGCTTCTTTGTTCTTTCAGAGTTACTGGAGAATGTAACCCTAATACATAAACCAGTGTCATTGCAACCCCGTGGGCTGATCAATAAAGGAAACTGGTGCTACATTAATGCTGTATCCTTCTCAGATGCCATCCCCAGGGCTGGCTGACTACAGTTTTCTCTTCCTCAGCTGCATTTGACTTATTTCAGCTTCCTTGGGGGCATCTCCCCTACATTTTTTTTGTTTTTGTTTTTTTTTGTTGTTTTTTTTTAGCTGAGCCATCCTGCTACCTGTTGGCAGCTCAGCAGCTGCTCAGCTCGGGCTGGACTCAAACCGCTGTTGCTCAGAGCTCAAACTCTTGAGCGAGCTCTTAACCAACTGAGCCACTCGGCCGGCCCTTCCCCTAAATTTTGGATCCAGAAACCTGGGTCCTTATGTAGTCTGCCTACCTTGTTTATAAACAGTTATTCCTGACCCCCCCCACCCCCCACCCCACCCCCCAAAAAAAGATTTGTTGACTGGGTAATGCCAGATTAGGCAAGTTTTCTCCTTGTTAGAGTGGCCCGAAATAATAGGGCAGTTACAACTGGAAATTTAGTTTTCATTGATTTGGTTATTTTGGTTGAATCAAGCTCTTGTATGTAAACTACGGATTGCAGAGTAAACCCTTATGTGGATATCACAAGGCAGTTATCCCCGCGATGGTTTGGTTTATTCCCTTTTGTGTTTATATATCTAAGGTCCTTGGCGTATTTAGTTTTATATGCTATTGGGCTTAATGTGCCTTTTGGAAATTTGGCATGTCTGTTTCATTTCCTTTACGCTTCCTTTACTGCCAATATTTAGACACTGCAGGCACTGGTTGCTTGCCCTCCAATGTATCACCTGATGAAATTCATTCCTCTGTATTCGAAAGTGCAAAGGCCTTGCACGTCAACGCCCATGATTGACAGCTTGTAAGTAAGGTGCTTCAAAATGTGTTGATGGGGTGGGATTTTCCTCTCTGATCATTAGAATTCAAATCGTTTAGCCAAGTTCTTAATATCCTGCAAATAAGTCTTATAATTCTGTTTTTTTTAATTTACTGTTTATATATGGAACTTAACCAGAAATAGAATTGGAATGTTGTTTATCTGTGTTTAGATCCAGTTGGATACATTTTAGTGTTTACCAGTTTATCACTTAACATATACCAAAAACTTATATAGGAAAGATTTAAGAACTCACTAGCTATTATAGTATTGGTGACCTAAAATTTGCTGTCTTCATGCTAATTAATATCCTTAGCCATTGAGGCTCTTTAGTAAAAGCATGTCTTGTTAAAAAATGTACCACTAAGCATTTTTTTCCCCCTCATGTTTAGTGTTCGGCTAATGAATGAGTTTACTAACATGCCTGTACCTCCAAAACCCAGACAAGCTCTTGGGGACAAAATTGTGAGGGATATCCGCCCTGGAGCTGCCTTTGAACCCACATATATTTATAGACTCTTGACAGTCATCAAGTCGAGCCTGTCTGAAAAGGTTTGGGACTCCTCTAATGTAGCCAGTATAAAGTGTTGCCTTTTGCTCCATTTTGTGCCTTACCTGTTGCTTATTCAGTGCTTGCCCTCTGCTTTAAGTGCTGTGATTTGGTGGGTGTATTCAGTAGATGGAGTCTTTTGCTTGTGATGGAGTCAATTGCTCGGATGAATTTAAAGAGTACGGTGATCATCATCATAAATCAGAGCCAACTCATGTGTCATTTACTGTGCACCAAGTACTCTAGTAAGTTCTGTACATGTATTAAAACTTAACTCTGTGAGTAAATTATGATTATTTTTTCCTTGTTACATTTGAGAAAAGTGAAGTCGTCGTTCAAGGTCACACAGCAAGTACGTGGCAGAGCCTGGCTTGAGAGTCAGCCCCTTAACCACTGCATGGTGTTGCCTTTCAGGAAGAGTGGGGTTATGGGGCCTGGAGTGGTGGCAGTATTCAGAAGAGCTTGTCATCAGTCATACTCAACATGCTTGAGCAGCTGGCTCCTTGGATCTTTGACCCAAAGGAGGCATTCAGGGCTGCTAATGTCACAACTCCCGGTGTGAACGAGAACCCTGGGGTTGTGCAGTAAGGCGGCCCTAGACAACTAGTCCTTCTGTCTCATTTAAACAAAAGAGCAACTTTTAAATAACTTTTTAAAATATAAACATAATTACATATTGTAGAACATTTCAGAAATACAGAAAAGCATAATAAAATAAACCTCCCATTAGTTCTATCACTTAGAAGTGTTTCACCTGTCCCCCTTTCCTCCACCCCCCCCATCTCAACTCTCCAAGGAAAAATTCATGATTTGGGGGAAATCTCTTACATTAAAATTTGTTGAGAATTTAAGAGGAGGCATAGTTTGACTATACAGATATTACATTCCAGCAGGTCTTGGCTAGTCATCAGTTAAAACTAATGTGATCATCTTTGACCTTTTCAGGGTCGACAAGAAGATGCTGAGGAATACTTAGGCTTCATTCTCAATGGTCTTCACGAGGAAATGTTGAACCTAAAGAAACTTCTCTCACCAAATAATGAAAGTAGGTTATGATGTATTTGCTACAAAAATGTGTGAGAACATTTTCTTAAGAATCATTTTAAAATACATGTTTATATGCTCACATATCCACTTATTAAGAGCTCACTCAAGAGTTTGAGTTCTGAGCAACAGTGGTTCGATTCCTGGCCTGAGCTGAGCTGCCAACAGGTGGCAGGATGGTTCAGCTTTAAAAAAAAAAAAAAAAATCACTTATTTACTCATTAGGCTAACTAGTTATTTTTACATTGCCTATTCTATATACCATCAAGAATGTTATATTTGGATAAATCCTAATGACCGCTGGATTCTGCATCTGTTAACATGTTGTCATTTATCTTCTCTACACATGCGCAGAGTATATACACGTTTTTCCTGAATGATTCAAAATTAAGTTGCAGGTAACAGTTTAGTTCATCCCTAAATGCTAAAGCATGCATCTCCTGAGGATAAGAATACTCTTCGATGTGACCAGCGCCCTTTATCAAATTAACAAAACTAACTGTAACTAAACAGTACTATCTACTTTCCAGTCCATCATTAAGTTTCTCCAATTGTCCCAAGACTGTCTTCCCTAGCAGTTTATGCAAGCAGGAAGCCGGTAGAGTCACACATGTTGTGTTTGATCTGGATGTAGAATACACTCTGATTTTGTTTTTAAAAACTGTAATTGACAAATTTCTGTAGGTGATGAATGTAGAACTTTTTATTTTATTTTTTATTTTTTATTTTTTTAGCTGAGCTATCCTGCCACCTGTTGGCAGCTCAGCGGCTGCTCAGCTCGGGCCGGGAATCGAACTGCTAATTGCTCAGAGCTCGCACTCTTGAGCGAGCTCTTAACCACCTGAGCCACTCGGCCGGCCCTAGAACTTCTTATTTTTATTTTATTATTTTTTTGCTGTTCTTGTTGTAAATAATAGCCTAAGCAGACTGTCTACTTTGCAGAACTCACTATTTCCAATGGACCCAAAAGCCACTCAGTGAACAAGGAAGAACAGGAAGAACCAGGCGAAGGAAGTGAGGACGAATGGGAGCAAGTGGGCCCCCGAAATAAGACGTCAGTCACTCGCCAGGCGGACTTCGTTCAGACCCCAATCACTGGCATTTTTGGAGGACACATCAGGTTTATGCTTTTCTGGAATTATTTCGTGTTTGCCTTTTTCAGGGTTTTGCCATGTTGCTAACGGTGTAAGACTTGTCCTAAGACATTTGCACTCGATGGTTTGCCTTTACACTACTGTGTCCTCTCTTTTCCCGGCCCTCTAATGCTTCTCTTGTCAGCCCCTGCTGCTTCCACATGACCCACTGTGGCCTTTCTGCAGAGGGTGCTGCCCCCCAGGGCCCCTGTTGGCCATAGCGAGCTCCTCACTCGCCTCCATCAGCCCTTCCCTTCCCTCAGTCTAGCTGCTCACAGGTGTAGGAAGAGAAAGACAGGTGCATCGAAACACATATTTTGTTAAGAGAAGGAATTGATGGATCTGACTGGAGGGATTTTAGGCCCTGGGACCAAGTGAGTTAGAAAGTTAAGGGAGTGTGAAGGGAGCCACTTTTACATAAAGGAGGCCATGTGACCTAGGCTGGGGTACCTGGGCACCTCCTCTGCTCCGGTTCCCTTAAACCAGCAGCTTTTTGCTCATTCACCAAGTCCGTCTAAAAGGTTTTTATTTATTTACATTAGAGTCACTTGGTACCACCGTGATGTGGAATTCAGGAAGACTTGTACTGTCTCCAGGGAGTGTACTCATCCACAGTCTGCTTTCTTCTCTGAACCCCTCAGCAGACCATACCGGGATGGGGTTTCAGCGAGACTCAGACTTTCATTGTCCCAAATGCTGTGTATCCAAAAGAAATAACACCCGTTCAAGATCCTGAGAGTTAGTGCAGCCTCTCCCTGCTCTGAAACAACTTAGACTGAGTACCTCTCAACAGGCCAATGATAAACCTCAGAAAATCTGTGCCGACTCCCTTACAAGCTACTCAGGGATGCCGTAGGACTGGAGTTAGAAGCCAGTGGTGCCACCCTGTGACTGTGACGTCATATTTGTGCCCTTTGCTGTGAGCTAGACTCTCAGGGCCCCTTTCTATTCTGAAGTCTCTTCGTGTCAGCCTGTGGTCAGGTGTGCTCTGGGGAATGCCCAGCCTCCAACCCCTGCTGCTACAGCTTGGTTTTGCCAGGTACGGTTCCTTGGTTTGAGCCGCGTTGAAAGAGGGAAATGCATCTAGGTCTGTGAACGGCAGTTTGAGGAGGCTGAATATGCCCTTAGCTTTCCATCAGCCCAGCAGCCTGATGCTAGCATGCTTGGTGCAGTCACTTAGAGATGGGAGAGGGAGACGGAGGAACAGCCCAGATGGATGTCAAAAGAGCAACATACTTGAAATTAGTGATTGATACTTCTTTTTGAAAAATGGTAAAGGAACGATAAGGAATTGCTTCTTATGCTTTAGGGCCATCTTTTCTCTATATGTCAGCCATCATTAAACGTGATTCTTTATTTAGACCAGTTGAAAGGTTTTCTTCTAAAATCTACCCTCTTCCAGTGGTTTTTCTTTTTCTCCAGAAAGACCAGCATCTTTCTCCACCTTTTTCTCCTGAGACACTTTTGATAAAATCCTGGCCCTTTGAGTCCAGATGACAACTTGATTTCTTCACCAACTTTTTATTACTGGTTTTCCCACTGTTTTTCTTCAGAACCAAGGGAATGGCTGCCATTCTCAAAGCGTTTACACTCAAAAGGAGTGTGGAGTCACTAGCTAAGACTATGTGTCGGGAAAGCAACTTATGAAAATTGAACCCTATGCAGGAAAGCTTTTAGCTCGCGCTTCATGCATCTGCACTGTCAAGTCCGAATACCTGTCCACACCCATTTTATTCCATTTATAAACTAGGTCACTCAGGCTGCAGAAATAGAATCCTTGTTGAATTCTTGGAATGTTTCCTTGCTGAGGCTAAGTGCGAGATGGGCCGCACACACAATTCTTACTCAGAAAACTTAGAAAAAGAAAAGTGAAATGAAAAAACCAGCTAAGAAAACAAGGATGAATTGGCACCTTTCCTCTTGAGGGTGGTACCCCTGTTTCCTGGAATGTTAACTTGTTTTTTATTATATGCACCCTGCTCCTCTTCTTTGTAAGTCATTTTTGTGGGGGGAAAATGCCATTAAAAATATTCTGTTTACCTTGAGGTTTCCTCTATTTTATTAGAGCAGGCTGTGATACTTTGAGAAAATGAGAAGTGTCAGCATTTTGAGGCCGTGGCAAGATAGTGACATTTATTAACTGGTGCGTTAAATAAAGCGTAGAGTGGAGGTGAAGGAATTTGGAAGATGAACTATGTTTTCTTCCAGAGCACTTGAATTGGGAAAATTATCAACTGGTGGATTTAGTTGCTAGAAATACTTAGGAGGTGGTATTCAGCCAAATTATTTTTAAATTCAGTGTATTTTTGGCTTTTCTGTTCTCCCGGGTCCTGTGAAAGTGATGTTGAAGAATCTCATTTTTAGTGTTTATTCCTCTTCTTTTGATGGATAATCTTAAGAGAAAGTGGGAAGGAGTGGTCTCTTAAATTTTTTGTTTTTGTTTTCAATTCTTAGGTCTGTGGTTTACCAGCAGAGTTCAAAAGAATCTGCCACTTTGCAGCCATTTTTCACGTTGCAGTTGGATATCCAGTCTGACAAGATACGTACAGTCCAGGATGCGTTGGAAAGCTTGGTGGCAAGAGAATCTGTCCAAGGTTACACCACAAAAACCAAACAAGAGGTATTTTCATGGTTGAAGCACTCTAGTGTGGTGGAAAGAACGGAGAATTAGGCATGAGGACAAGTGGATTTGAGTTCTGCCTCTTAAACCAGTTGCTTACCTTTTTGGACTGAAGGATTCCACACTTTTAGATGAAATGGTTGAAACAGATGATTCTAATAACCTCCTTTAGCTCTGAATCGTGTAGCACAAGGTAATGGCCTTGAAGATGATTTATCCTGAGCTACGTTTAATTTTTTGTCCATCTAATCATGACCCCACAAAATCAATACTACCCCTAGCACAGGCTTACTAGCTCATTTCCATTCCTGATGTCATAGAGCCCAGTGTCGTTGAGATTAGGAGGCAAAAGAGATTCATAACACATCTGTTTTGCGTTTGGTCATAGGTCTTCAATGCAACTGAGATAGAGGAAGTAATTGTTCTGGTGCCTGGTACTCTTTGATTGGATCTAAAAAAAGATACAGCCTTTGAGCCTTCCCATCTTCAGGAGTAGAGAGAAGCAGGTGATAGCTTAGAGTGGTGTGCTGGTCAGCTTGCTCAGGAGAGGCGGAGAGTATTCTGCTCTTTGAGGGCTTATTGGTTCCTCTCTGTCCAGATGTGCCTGTCGATGCCCGTTTCCTACTCTGCAGTTGAGAGTGTCTCCATCATACATCCGAGACTGTGGCATTGAATGCATCGGAATGTGTTGGGTAGATGAGTGCGGGCTGGTTATGGGCAGGACCTTTTTGAACAGTTGATAGTATTCCTGTGGACCTCGATTCAAATAATAGTGTGTAGTGGCCGCAAGGTGAGCAAAGAGACACCCCAGTGAGGAAAACCTGTCAGCTCCGTGCATGGCTGAGGCAGACATACTCTTGCCTTGCAGCTTGTGCTCTGAGTGAAGAAGAACAAAAGTAGGACATGGAGACCTTCCGCTCATCTGGGGTCTCCTGCTTTGGATTGGTCAAGCCAGCCTCTTGGGGGATTTGCACAAATTATGTGTAATGCTTCAGTATATTTTCTGATTGCTTGTCCTGGGTGGTTTTGTTTAAAAATGAAAAAAAAAATTAAAACAGCCATACTATGAGAGTTATTAAGAAACAAGTTTATAAACACATACTTGAAGGTACTACCACCTCAGTTTTTTTGTTTTTTGTTTTTTTTTTTTAATAGTTATGCCAATTTGTCATTAATGCCACAGAGCAAAAGTTCTTAACTTGAATTCACAGATGGGCTCAGGGACCCAGGGATCCTCCGCAGTTGTGTTTACAGGGGTATATTGCCTTTTTCTAAGAAGAATGTCAGTAGCTGTCAAAGGTTTTCAGAAGATCCCACGATCAGGAAAGGTTGAGAAACACGGCCACGTACTCGAGGAGTCAGCTCTCAGAGGAGGTCTTGGAGGGAAGACTGAGGTGGCATCTGCTGCCTGACGTATGACGACCGGTGTGTCCGGGTGTGCTTTGTCTTAGGTTGAGATCAGTCGAAGAGTGACTCTGGAAAAACTTCCTCCTGTTCTCGTGCTGCACCTGAAACGATTTGTTTATGAGAAGACTGGTGGATGTCAGAAGCTTATCAAAAATATTGAATATCCTGTGGACTTGGAAATTAGTAAAGGTAATAAGTAGATAAGTCAGAAGTGTTTATGGTAACAGTACTCCTGGAGACCAGTGATTTTGACACCTTAGCATTGTTGTAGAAGGTCAAGGTCAAGGAATTTTTTTTCATGACTTTTTGTTTTCAGTTTTTTTACTTTTAATAGACCTTTATATTAAAATTCTCATTAAAATGGCTCTTAAAAATAAAAGCAAAAATGAATAAACTATATAATTTTTCTTGGTTAGAAAAATAGGTTTTGTCCATCACAATGAGCATCATTTTTCTATAAACATTTTATAGATTAATGGTACAAAATGATTTTCCTTATACTGCTTATTAATAACTCTGTGGACCAGCCTGGTTAAATGGACATTTTTTAGTGAATTGAGAATGTTTCCCATAGGTCACTAGGGGGTTTCTCTGATCTGGTTCCAGTGACGTGTGTTAGATTTGTGGCACTCTGTCAGCCACACGTCTCCGTCAGGTAACCAGGGCTCAGCAGTGTCGGCACATTCTGGCAAAAGCACCAAGTTCAAGTTGTCTTGCTAAAAACACAACTTGAAGGAAAACGTCCCTTGAAAGCTTCAGAATTTGTGGAAAATGTACTGTGCAATACTAAAGCTTGATTGGGAGCATAACACGAGAGGTGATTCTCAAAATATCAAGGTGTTTGGAAGACAGAAACGAGGATGTGGGACAGCATCCCTGGGTCTTGTAGAGTCCCTGGGTCCCTGTCACCTTCCTCCTCCTCCCCTCCCCATAGTATGACACCCACGTGGCACCCACACTTGACGCCTTCCAGGCCAGGTGACTCAAGAACTGGTGGGTGGCTGCCTTCATGTTTATGATCGGCTTCACCTCCACCCCAGGGAGGTTCCATTTCCTTCCGCTTCAGGTGCAGACTCTGGCTCCGCAGCCCCATTCTCAGCAGTTGCCACTTTTGGCTGGTAGGTTGGATTCCTGTGCCCTTTTATGGTCCTTCCTTTCTTTCTCACGGTGAGCTGCTTCATTCACAGGCAGCGTGTTTTTCCGAGTACAGTGGAGGACCAGAGTAGGGAAGAAACCCCAGCCGAGAAGCGTGTACTGGGTCATCAGTCCCTTTTTGCATTGCTGTCAGGAAACGGGGTGCACCGTGTCTGCAGGCGTCCTTTGACCCCCTCTTGCCCCCAAATTAGCCGTCTAGATGGGCCGACTTGTTTTCTACACTGATTTCATTTGCCTAACTTCTGTTATTTTTCTTGCATTTTTATATCAGCTACCACCTCAAATGCTTTCTAGAAAGAGAAATCATGTGAATGAGGACAGGAGGACTTAGCTTAGGTCGTGGAGGTGGGGAGTAGAGAAGGAACCAGGAATGGCTGCCAAGAGCAGCCCTTCTCAACATGAACTGTTCCTGGCATCTCAGTGGTGCTTCCACAAAGGGGAACTGCATGCATTAAGGGCGAGAGGGCCCCCGGCCTACACCAGCCGGTAGACTAGTACCTCTGTGGAGAAACCATTTCACTCTTTCACTCGCATAATTGAAGTTTTGTGGTCTGATTCACATGTAAAACATTTTAATGTTTAGGTTTTCTGGGACGGTTTCATTTTGGTTTTTGCTTTTAAGTGGGCAACTATCTCCCCCCACGCCAACCCCCATTTTTTAGAACATCTGCTTTTAAAGGGTTTCTAGCATGAGCTTAATAGGTTCAGTATATTCCTCATATTTCTTTAATGGGTTGGTGGCTGGTTATGTCTGTTACTATGTACTGCACAGCTCATTTTTATGCAAATAAAGGGGTGGAGTTTTGTTTTTCTGGTCCGCCAGGTGTTTTACTTGGGTGGAGATTGTTGTTGCCCCTTTTCTTCTGTTACTCTGAGCCTTTCTGTGAGTGCTTTTATGGATTGGGGCTGCTGATATTTTGTTTTTCAGAACTGCTTTCTCCAGGAGTTAAAAATAAGAACTTTAAATGCCACAGAACCTATAGACTCTTTGCAGGTAAGTCAATTTGTACAACATTATTTCCCTATTAAAGCAAGGATGAAAGGGTTTCTACTCAATGCACACACAATTTTGCCATAATACTACTTAACATAGAGAATAGATTTCACTATTGGTATCACTATGGACTTTTTAAGTAGGGAAATCATTTGAAAATGTGTGTTTTACCTGAAATGTGGTGCTTGGAATTTGACAGAATATCCGCTTGGCTCTAAGCTCAACGTAAGCCTTTGTTGGATGTGATCTCTTCTGTCTCTGGGTTAGAGGAGCGAGTTTAGGCTGCCAGGCTAGAAATGTGAGAATGTGACCTTTACCTGCTGCAGTTGTGGTACCTGTGAGGTGACCGTGACATCAGAGTGGCCGTGACACTGAGTCATTCACCTGGCATTCCATATACCCTCTTCCATACGGCGTTGTTAGGTGTGCATGAGCTCACACAGGCCCCTCAGTCACAGGAATCCCCCAACAAGGGGGTGATGGCACATCCCATCCCTGAACCGGGGGCCCTAAAACCCCTGATCTCCTGGCCTGGGGCCTCCTGCTGTGCCAGCTTGTCCACCTTGTATTCTTCCTTCTATTCTTCCTTCTCTTTTATGGCCTGAGTCTCTTATGCCTTTGAGGCTTTGTATTTCTTAATAGTTGTCATTTGCAACAATTGTGTTTGCCTTTCTGGCTGTTTTTATTAGAATTTTCTAGCTTCTCTGTCATCCCTCCTTTTATGTTGTTTTTGGCGAGCCTGTTTGTAATTTAAAATGACACTACTGTGTATGGACCCTCACTCACGTATTAACCTTTCTACTAGATACCTTTTCCATAGTATCTCATTTATTCTTTACAACTGAGAGGTACGTGGTGGTATTCCCATCTTCTAAAAGAATAAACTGAGACTCGGACCCAAGAGGAGTATTCACTACTCTGTGACCTTCAGAGCAGGGCTCCACATTCCTCTGCCCCCTAGCCACTGCCAAGGTCGTAGGCTGTTGGATTGGGTCAGCGGTGAGGTCCTGTGCCCATTAGCAGGTGTTTGGCCCGGTCAGCTCTTTTTTCCCACCAGGCACTTTTCCTTCTCACTTGCTCTTTTCCCCCAAGGCAGCTGCCTGCTGGAACCCAGACAAGGTGGCAGTGGGTACCTTGCCTTCGTGAGTGTCTCCATCCTTGCCCTGCCTTGGGATAGACCCTCTGAGGCCTCGGTCGGCACTTGGGCTCTGCAGTCCACCCCTGCGACCAGAGGAGTCCCCAGGGCCCATCCTGCTCCCTGAGATTTGGGACCAAGGTCGCACTGGGTGATAAATTGTTTCTTTGCCATGTCCCTGCAGTCCCCTCCCTTGGGGCTCTTGCATTGGAAGGTTGATGATCAAGGGCAAAGTTTAGGAATTCCTTGTCTCCTGGTCAAGGGGCCCCTGTGAAAGTGCCCAGGATTCGTACCTGAGTCGCTGTCACCTGCACTCCTGAATCCTCATCTTGAGTCTTCTAATCTCAGAAATAAGGCCACTATATTTCTTAGAATTTTCTGTAAAATATGAGTAAAGAGGTACCTTGTAAAATGGTTCTGATTGTGGGACCAAAGAGAACGAGTTAGTAAAAATTAAAATGTATGAGCTTTTAAAAAGCGCTCTCATTCTCGGTTTTGTTCCTGTCAGGTGGGCTTGCCAGGTGTCTGTGACAAACTGCTCGTACTACGTTAGTTTCCAGGGCTGCTGCTTACGGACCTTGAGCATGTGTAGAATGCTCTCTTCTCTTTTGAATTTTTAGGATGGCAGCGTGTTACAGGACAGACAGATGAGTTAAACCCCCAGATCCTTAAAATCCTATGACTTGTCATTTTAAAAAAGTTCTTACCCAAGTCAGTTAAGTCTTGGAGTTGAAAATCCAGGACAAGCACCTCAAAGTGGATTTGGGGGTCAGAGCCCCTTCTGTGCCCTGTGGCAGCCTCTTAATCGCTGTGACCTGCTGTACAGGATTAGTCTGTGACCATGTGTTGTTCCCGTCGCTGGTTTCCCATCTGATCACGCTACAGTCTTGCTGACCTGTGTGACCAGTCCTGTTTGTCATGTGTCTGGCCAGTGCTAGGGCCATAGTGTCCTCTGAGCCCCCAGCATAGAGGCTTCTTTGTGCAGAGCCCAGGTGTCTGTCCAGTGATTGAAGCCATAAGCACCGTCCTCTAACCCCCCAAGGTCACTGGCCCGGGGTAGACTCGGACCTCCCTAAAAGTGACAGCTGCTAGAACCCAGTGACATTCAGGCTTGTTTATTGCTGAAATTTACCACCAGCTAAATATTGTGCCTCTCCAAGTGACTGTCCTTTATGCCACTGCTGGTGGTGCACAGCTCAGCACTCATCTCCATGATTTCCCTGGAGTCCGTTTCCCTCGCTCAGGCTCGCGTCTGTCGTTGGCCAGGCCACCCCTTGGCCCCTCTTCACAGGAGGTGAGGGATGTGTCCTTTGGCCGTCCTTTAATGTCTTCATTGCATCTTTCAACAGTTAGATTTGTTTTAGGCCTTTGACTAAGGCTTCTTGATTGAATTACAGGATTTTTAAAAGTAAATCAAGTATTTTTTTCTCTTAAAACATTGTGGTAGAAAAACTGGAAAACTTTTTAAAAGGACAAAAGAGTGATGGCTCGTCTCTGCAGGGTGCTCACAGCGGCACACTCAGACAGCCTGGCTGGGGGCCCTGGTTCCTCTCCTGGCGTGGGTGCTGTTGGTCGTCATAGAAGACAATCCACAGAAAACCTAGGAGTCTTTGTTTTCATGTAATATAAGCATATTCCTATGTCACAATTGTGTGAAAAAATTCATCTTATTGTAACACAATTCACTAATCATTCCTTTTAGTGGGTATTTAGGTTTTTCCATTTTGTTTTTCACTGTTATAAAATCTTTGGCTAAGATTCAGAGGTGGATTTGTTTGTCCCTCTGTTGGCTCTGTGGGAGAATCTCTTTCATGGTCCGCTTTCCAGCATTCTCTTTCAAGTAGTAAATATTAAAACAGTTGATAACCCTTGCCTGAAGGACTGACAAGTGAGACAAAGCCCCGTTTAATTGCCTTTCTTTCACTGTTTGTGAGGGATCGAACATTTTAAATATGTTATTAAGATGTATATGTATAACTTTATTGCAAATTGTTTTAAGGTTTTTGTGTTTAAATAACGTTGCTTTGTGTCATTACATTTCCCTCTCCCACCCACTCTGGGAAGGTGTTTCCCAAGAGAGCCAGATGTGCGCAGGTAGTCAGGTGGGTGCCTTTAAGCGGCTGGTGTGCAGTGCCCCTCTCACCGGGGCGCCTCCCGGGCCCTCTCTTCCAGTGGTCTACCATCACGGCAGCAGCGCGACGGGTGGCCATTACACGACAGACGTCTTCCAGATCGGTCTGAACGGCTGGCTGCGCATCGATGACCAGACGGTCAAGGTGATTAACCAGTACCAGGTGGTGAAGCCCACTGCCGACCGCACAGCCTACCTCCTGTATTACCGCCGAGTGGACCTGCTGTGACCGCCTGCGCCACACGTGCCCAGCACCCGCTTCTAGGACGCCGACTCTCACTGACTCCCTTCCTCTCTTTAGTGGCGCTTTAGAGAGAAACTGTTTTTTCCCTTCTGCAAAAATGGGCTCAAATGAAAAGGAGATGCCTTGGGGTTTGTGCGGAACGTACTTGATGTTGACTTCTAACTTCCAAATCAAAATCACTTAGTGGAAACAGACTGTCGCTTGATTTAAGAAATTACACAAAAACCCATAATTTTGAAATAATGCTGATTCCTGAGTAAGAAGGGGGGACTTGCATTTGATTCCCAGTCTAATTGCTTAGTAGAATAAATCCTGCACCAGCAACAACACTTGTAAATTTGTGAAAATGAATTTTATCTTTCCTTAAAAAAAAAATGAATTTTTTAATCCATCACACTTTCCTTCCCCACCCTTTAGTTTTTGATAAATGATAAAAATGAGCCAGTTATCAGAGGAGAAATAGTGCTTACTTCAAAAGAAAAAAACCAAACACACAAAAAAATAAGTTGCTGGTTCCTAACAGGAAAAATACATTTTAATAATTGTGCGATGAGAAACTGCTTACAAACACATTGCAGATCAAATATTTGGAGTCAAGATGTTATTCACATAGATGGGTGATTGCAACTTTATTGCCATTAAAAGATTTCAAATTGCATTCATGCTTCTGTGTACACATAATGAAAAATGGGCAAATTAATGAAGATTGATCTTTTCCTTAAGTCTGCTCTGTTTAATTCTGCTGCCTGCTCTTCTATAATGCTGCGTCTCTAATTGTACACAGTTTAGTGATACCTAGGAGTATAAAGTTGTCGCCCATCAATAAAAATCACAAAGTTGGTTTAACGCTGTGCATGGTGTTTCTTTGACCGCAAGTGCTGTTTCCGGTTACGTGGAATCCAGGCTGACACAACTGCACCTCCAGAGTTAAAATAAGCCTTTCTGTCAGCCCGACGTGTCTGTGAAAGCTGAACCAAGACACAGGTTATGCGCGTTTGATATTTCCAAGGTTATTACTGTAGGGATTTGGGGAAATGGGTTTTTTGAATCTTCAAATAGCAGAAAAGGGAGATAAACTGTCCCTCTGTTGTTCCTGTCTCCGGCATTTTCAGCACCGCCAAAGTGGTAGGTTTAGGTGATGGCCTAGCATCTTTTTAATTGTGTACCACTGGGACATCTTAGCAGCGTTGGACGCCACCCTCAGGAAGAGGTGGAGAGAGAGATGGCAGACACATGCAGGTCAGGGCACCCCCGTGGCTCTAGTGCCTCTGGTTCTCTGGATTTTGGCTCCATGCAAACAATTCATAGTGATATCCTGGGCTCTCCAGAGAAGTGACTTTACGTGGCCTGACCTGACTCCCAAGCTCTACTTACCATCTGGCGTTCCTATTTATAGCCCGTGCCCCTCCGTGTTCAAAGCTCACTTATAAATTACAGTCCTACCACTGGCCACTTAGCTACTCACCCTGTTGTAACCCCGCTCTGATTCGCTTGGCTGACTTACAAGTCATGTTACACTTCTCATTAAAATCATGTACAATTCTGATGGAAGTCGTGGTGTTTGGAAGGCAGATTAACTTTGGGGGAAGCAACCCACACCAGCAATAACCCAGCTGAAGATGACATAACCCCTGTTCTGAAGCACTTCACTGAGTTCTTGGTTGTCGCACTGTGAGCCAGGTCATGTCTCTGCTGAAGGGAATGGCTTATCTGTCCTGAGAACGCACCCAGCCTCCATAACTGCTATCGGTCATTCTCCCCCAGCAAGATGAAGTGGCTCCTTATTTAAAGTAACGGGTCCCCTGTGAGTCAGATTGAGCGCCCTCTCAAGAACAAGGCCCTCTGATCTGGGAATGCCTTCACATGGAACAAGAGGTGGATAAAGAATGCTATTGTTGGTACACCGGCCTGCTTCCAGATCTTAAAACACATCCTATGTGTTTAGACAAGAAATTTCCCCTCAAATACCATTTAAGGATTTCTACATAATCTTTATATTACTAAGGGGTATATTTATCAAGCTCCAGATTTCTTGGAAATGTCTTAGGTATTGAGAAACTTCCTTTGAAAGATCTCAGATCTCTCTCAAAAGTAATAGAGATGAATTTTAAATCCAGTGGGATATTCAGAAGTCTTGGTCAGTGTGTAGCGTATACCAACACTGCACCCATACCTGGGTTATTTAAATTTAGCCTCATGGTAAAATTTCGTGGGCTCCATTATGACCCTATATGTGAGATGCTGTGTGTTTGAAAGGTGAAAGCTATTATAGTTTTGTTTGAAAGAGAGCCTGTGTAACCATGTACCGCTTAACAACTCCGATTGTATTTATGACAGATGGAGCCTCCCAATTTTGCTTAAGCCAGATCACACCGGCTGCAGACAGAAGAGCACAACTCAGGAAGGAACAGAATACATATAGCAAGGAGATGCCAGCCTGGAATTAAGAATTATCTGCATTTGGTCCCTGGAGTGAGTAATTGGCCCATGGATAGAATCAGATCATTCTAGTAAATCCTGCATTTTCTAGGGTCCCAAGTAAATAGTGGGCATATCCATGTTATCCGTTGAGGTTTTGAACTCGACATTTAGTATTTAGTGCTGCAGTGTTTCGGGGTTTTTTTATAAGTTTCATAGCCTGTTGCCTTGGCTTTCAGTCATTTACACCTAGAACTCTGCCCATTAACCTTGGTTTTAGGGGTACACATTTAGTGATTTTTTTCCTTCATTAGCATTTGCTATGTCTTTTCAATTACAGTTGACATTCAATATTTTATATTAGTTTCAGGTGGCATTTGATATGTCTTTATAGATGACTCTTAATCCAATGTGAATGCTGAGGTATTATATGTATATTACAGGGAGATTTTTCTTCCTTTTTTTAAAATAAATTTTATTGGGGAACAGTGTTTTTCCAGGATCCATCAGCTCCAAGTCAAGTAGTTGTCTCAATCTAGTTGTGGAGGGCGCAACGCAGTGGTCCATGTGGGGATCGAACCCGTAACCTTGGTGTTATGAGCACTGCACTCTAACCAACTGAGCTAACCAGCCGCCCCAGGGAGATTTTTCTTTAATGTGTCGATTGTTACTAACAAGACTTGGAAGTTCTCTTCCAGGGAAGAATGTAATGAGGTTTATTTTATCTGGTTTGTACGTTGTTTTTCCAATAGCTAAGAAAGTGCACCAGCCACTATGGGTTCCTTTCAGAATTAAAAATGGCGGTCATTTCATGGTCCTATTTGTATACCCAGAGTCCGGCTGTCTGAGTGATTCAGAGCAGCATTCTGCGTTCATCTCTCAGCGTAGTCACATCATCATGGTTTAATGTGTGGGCAACATGAGCAGGAACTTTATAATCAGCAAATATATCATTTTATGTCTTTTCCTTAGTGAAAATTTCTGATTGTTACTCTCATAGGCTGCTTGTACTTGACCAGGCCAACTGGTTAGAAAGCTGAGATTGCCATCAAAGTCAGTTCCTTTGACTTTACCAAATAAACCACTGAGTTTGGTATTGTACAGCTGTCAGCTAACTTGTGCGAATCCATGTTAATGGATTCCAGTGTGGCTACGTCCGTCTGGTTTGTTTCGTCCATCGGGAGACGGAAGACCCACGTCTTCCCTATCACTTCTCTGGCTCAAGAAAGAAAACGATCTTTGAGCCAGATCTGGAGGACAGTGTATCCATTATACCAGTTTTCCGAGGGTCAGTGGACTTAGAAAACATTAGACAAAATATGAGTGTTTTAAAAATAGTTCCTGTCTAGCAAGGCCATGTGTTAACAGCCAACTCCATATGCAGCGTCGTGTTTTTCCCTTTAAATTCAGTCATAGCAGATTGCAAAGCAGACATGCTTTTTCTTCAGCAAACGTTTTCTCTTGCTTCCTAGGATATTTTTTCTTTTTAAGTGTTGTTATTCGTCTTCTGGACTGACCCTTCCCATCTTATTTATTTTGGAGAAAAAAATTATTTGCATTAAAGGTGAAGTTTACTTCATAGCCTGGCTTCACCTTGTGATAATGTTTCTTCTTTTAAGGAATGAACCACTGAACAAATGCTTGGTCC